TTACTGTGCTGTAATTTGCTCTGTAGACCAGGCTGGCCTCCATCACAGAGACCCACCTGCCTCTGTCTTCCAAGTGCTAGGACTAAAGGTATATGTCACCACTGCCTTGTGATTAGTTTGGTTTTTCTTTTCCTTTTTCTCTTTTTCTTTTCTTTTTTTGGCTTTTCTTTCCTTTCTTTTTTCTTTTTCTTTCTTTTTTTGTTTGTTTTTGAAACAGGGTTTCTCTGTGTAGCCTTGGCTGTCCTAGAACTCACTCTGTAGACCAGGCTGGCTTCAAACTCACAGAGATCTGCCTGCCTCTGCCTCCTCAAGTGTTGGGATTATGAGAGTGCACCACCAACACGCCTGGCTCAGTTTCTACTCTTTTCACCAAGAGGTACACTCTATTTAAGGGAAACATTTTCATTGTTGTTGTTTTCTTTTGGTTTTGGTTTCATAGCTACACAGGGTTTCTCTGTGTAGCTGTGGCTGTCCTGGACTCATTTTGTAGACCAGGCTGTCCTCAAACTCTCGGAGATCTGCCTGCCTCCCCTAGTAATCCTCAACCTCCCCAAGTGCTGGGATTACAGTTGTGCGCCACCGTGTCCAATTTTCGTGTGTGTGTGTGTGTGTGTGTGTGTGTGTGTGTGTGTGTGTGTTGCTTTCTTTGTCCAATTCCTACAGAGAGCTGTGGTCATTCCCCCATTTTATAAGCATTGTTGCATAGCCTAAGTTAAAAAAAAAAAAAAAAGAACCTAAGATGTGTGTGTGTGTGTGTGTGTTTTGTGACAGGAGGCTGGGCAACGATGGCCTGCTCTATCATCACCCTTCCACTGTACTCTCTCACAGAACCCAGAGCTCAGAGGTTTCCAGCCAGTGTTCCATAGGTAGTTCTATCTTCCATGCATAAAGGTCACCATTGCCCCAGGGCAGCTGTGGCTACTTACAAGTGACCCAGGATCAAGTCAAGTGATCAGTGCTGTTGACCCTTGACATTTCCTCATAGAAAGAGGGGCTAGGGAGAGTGAGGAAACCCTCCCCTAAGATTCTAGTTCCTTCCTCATGCACTTCCCAGTGAGGCGTATAGAATTCTACCCTGGCTGTACAGGGCCTGCTAGTCTTGGTGTATAGACGGAGGAAGGTTAACAGCAGGGAGGGACTCAGTCTGCAGCTATAAGGAAGTCATCACACAAGCTGAGGGAAGGCTTTCTAAACAAATCCAATGAACTTATTGGTTTCCCAAGCTGCACTTTAGTGAAATCCTGCTTTGGTTTGTTCTGGATGCCCTAGGAGGAGGAGGTAGGTGGTTCTTTATGTCTGCCCAGGGAGAGGGTTCTAGAAAACTAACAGCCAGAAATCTCAGCAATCTTCCTCCCTCCTCCCTCCTCTCTCTTCCCTCCTCCCAGCCATGCTCTGGCTTTGCAGGCACACAGCCATGCCCAGCTCTTACTCGGGTGCTGGGATCTAAAGTCAGGTCCTCAAGCTTACACAGCAAGTGTTCTTCACCATCTCCCCAGCCCAGCCCTGAGAATGCAGGGGTGTGTGCCACCAGCACACCCAGGTTTATGGAGTGCTGGAGCCTGAACCCAAGGCTTTATAAGAGCTGGCTTAGCGCTGTGCGGAGATACATGCCAGCCCTTTATTTTTAGCTCTTTAAACTTTCGTCCAGGAAAGTTACTTTTAGTATCTACTATATGCTGGGCACGCAGTGTTCACTGGAGATCCAGTTACAAAATAATAATAGCTCCTTTTTTTAAAAAACGGAATCCATGGCCTATTGGGAAAGATATGTGATTAAAAAGGAATTAAACAAAAATGTGGGAAGTACTCCAATGGCGAAGAGGGTTAATGGTGGTTTTATAAATGTGTATTATTGTAGTCTCTTTATTTTTTTTTCTGCTTTTTGTTTTTATTTTATTTTAATCACAGGTCATTCACTTGTATCCCAGCCGTACACCCCTCTCTCATCCCCTCCCAATTCCACCCTCCCTCATCTCCTCCCTGCCCTCTTCCAAGTCCACTGATAAGGGAGGTCCCCCTCCTCTTCCATCTGACCCTAGCCTATCAGGTATCTTCAGGACTGGCTGCAATGTCCTTATCTGTGGCCTAGCAAGGCTGCTCCTCCCTCCGGGGTGGGGGGAGATCAATGAGACAGTCACTGAGTTCATGTCAGAAATAATCCTTGTCCCCCATGTTTTTTGTTTTGTTTTGTTTTGTTTTTTGAGACAGGGTTTCTCTGTGTAACTTTGGCTGTCCTGGACTCAACTTGTAGATCAGACTGACCCTCAACTCACAGAGATCTGCCTGCCTCTGCCTCCTCAAGTGCTGGGATCACAGGCCTGTGCCACCATGTCCGACTGCAGTTTCTCTCTTAACCTGGCTATGACCCAAATAATTGAGACTGGACTATTTATTTAACAAGCTATGTGGCACAAGAACTGAGCAGCACTAATCTATTTTAACCCTCTAAGCTAATCTGGCTTCTTCCCACCATAAACCTTGACAATACTTGCACTTCATGTCTTTCTCTGCTCCAGCTGCCCTCTCTTGATATCTCCTGGATTGCAACCAGGTATGGGGGCACAGAAATCAGCATTGGAATCATTACACAGTGCACAATGACATCATGCGTACAGATGAGTATGAGATGCCGGGGGAAGACAAAGACTAGGCACTGCACCCAAACCTGGGGCTCAAAGGAACAAGGTGATGGAAGAGATGAAAGGGTGACAAGGCCAAAGGGGGGAAGTGCCACTCAGTGGAACCATACTTTAAAAAGATGGCTCTAAAAAGCAAATGGGCTGCTGGAGACTGTGAATAGTTCCCCAAGTGCACATGGAGGTAACAGCATGGGGGTAGACAGCTGGAGTCTAGCACCTTCCACGGCTAGACTGGCCACATGCATGTTTAATCACTGTGTCCCACTCTCCGGTCCTTTCGTTTTTCCTTCTTTCTGTCCTCCTGACAGCCTTTCTTTCTTCCCTTTTCTTTATAAGAATAACAACAACAAAATGCCAAAGCCACCTGCACCCTACTCCCAGGGATCTGTAACTTGGGAGTAGACAAAAGAAAGACATCAGGAAAATACTGATCTTAACACTCTACCCCCTTCTTGGCTGTTTTTTATTTTGTTTTCTTGCTGTTGTTTTCTACGTAAGTCAGGATGGCTTCAAACCTATAGGAATCCTGCTGCTCCCAAGTGTGAAGAGATTCCTTTTCTCTCTCTTTGGGTCTCCCCCTCCCATTTGTTATTGATTTTATTTTGTTTCAGACAAGGCCCAGGATGGCCTCAAACTTACTCTGTAGCCTCAGCATTCTCAGTGCTGAGACTGAAGACCCATATCACCTTGCCAAGTGTTTTCATTCTCTCTTTTATTTTTTTAAGATTTATTTATTTATTATGCATTCAATGTTCTGCCTGCAAGTATGCCTGCATGCCAGAAGAGGGCACCAGATTCATTATAAACAGTTGTGAGTAACTATGTGGTTGGTGGGAATTGAACTCAAGACCTTTGGCAGAGCAACCAGTGCTCTTAACCAGTGCTCTAAGTCATTTCTCCAGCCCCCCCCTTTTTTTTCCGAGATGAGACAGGGTTTCTCTGTGTAGCCTTGGTTGTCCTGCACTCTACTTGTAAACCAGGCTGGCCTGGAACTCACAGAAATCCACCTGCTTCTGCCTCCTGAGTGCTGGGATCAAAGGCGTGCGACACCACTGCCCAGCCATTCTCACTTTCTTAAAAAAAAAAAAAAAAAAAAAAAAAAAAAAGTAAGCAGATAGCTGGAGCCAAGTAAGGGAATGTAAATAAATAAATAAAATTAATGAAAGCTATAGGTGATAGCTTTACAAATAACAACTAAACAGTCACTTTTTATCTCCAGTTTTACACAAATTAGCTGACTTTGACCTGAGAGTATGCAGAAAGATGTTATTCAATTAATGAGCATTAGAGCTGTTTGCCATGGCAGCAACATTCTTATGATCCTAGCCACTTAGGAGCCAAGGCAAGAAGATTCCTTGAACCCAAGCTTTCTTTTCTTTCTTTTTATTTATTTATTCATTTATTTATTATGTATGGTGTTCTGCCTGCATATATGCCTCCACCCAGAAGAGGGAGGTTATCACAACCATGATAGATGGTTGTGAGCCACCATGTGGTTCTAAGAATTGAATTCAGGATCTTTGGAAGAGCAGACAGTGCTCTTAACCTCTGAGCCATCTCTCTAGCCCCTCTTTCTTTCTTTCTTTCTTTCTTTCTTTCTTTCTTTCTTTCTTTCTTCCTTCCTTCCCTTCCTTCCTTTCTTTCTCTCCCTTCCTTTCTTTTCTTTTTTTTTTTTTTTTTGAAACAGAGTTTCCTGTGTAGCTCTGACTGTCCTAGAATTCATTCTGTACACCAGGCTGGCCTTGAGCTTTGAGATCCACCAGTCCCTGCCCCCTCAGCACTGGGACTAAAGGCATAGGCCACCATGTCAGGCTTCAACCCAAGGTTTTAATGGCAGCTGCACAAGATAGTAGAACTTGTCTCTTGAATGGTAGGAAGAAGTTAGTGAGTATTTCACTACTACATAAAGGAGTTAAAAGAGCTTGGAGAGTGAATGAAGAACTCCTTCTAATTCCTACTCTGTCCTTGCCTTACACCTTGGCCTTGGGCAAAGGTTTGAGTCAATGAGTATTTGCAAAAGTAGAAGGAAGTAGGGGGTGCTGTTGCAGCTCAGTGGCAGGAGGATTGCCTAACAAGTTCAAGGCCCAGGGTTTGATCTCCAGCACAAAAAGGCAAGCAGGGGATGTGACTCTGCATAAGGGCACTTGACAACAAGACAAGGGTCTGAATTGACCCCCAAAACTCCAATGGTAGAAGGAGAGGACTAACTCCCACAAGTTGTTTTCTGGCCTCCACATGCATGCCATGACACACATGAACACACACATGAACACGCACACACACACACACACACTCTAAACAAAAAAACAAACACATGTACATGTAAAAAGGAAGACCTAGTCTAGGCATAATGTCACCCACCTTTAATCTCAGCACTCAGGAGGCAGAGGCAGAAGATCTCTGAGTTTGAGGTCAGTCTGATCTTCATAATGAGGTTCAGGCCAGCCACTGAGTCCTCCATGAGACCCTGTCTCCTTACAAAAAAAAAAAGGAAAACAGGAAGAAAAGGTGAAAAGGAAAGTAGTGCTGGGATTGAACCTAGACCCTCATTCACATGTGCCATATCACGGAGCCACACGCCAGCTCTCCTCTTAACACCCTTCTGTAAGAGCAGCCAGCGCTCTTAACTGCTGAACCATCTCTCCAGCTGTCCAGCCCACCCCTCGGCTTTGGACTTGTGATTCCCTGCCTGAGCCTCCCTAGGAGCTGGGATTACAAGCACCGACTGCCAGGCTCAGCTACGTTGAGGAATGTAGATCTTTTCAGGGGGTTTCAGACTCTGGTTCCCATAGATAATGTGGGTAAGTTAAATGGTTTGTGTGCTTTACGATTGCTGAAAACAGGAAAAGACAAGTCTAGCTTCTTGCTGGTGAGATCAGTTTTGAAAGAGAAATATACATAGGGGATTTTATGTGAAATCTCTCAAACATTTTTTTTTTCAACATAAGGTCTCATGTAATACAGGCCACTGAGGACACCTTGTGCACACACTAATATAGACACCCTTACACATAAAATAAACGATTTTTACAAGAGGCAAAGTGGAAGAGCAAGCATGATGACAGAGGCCTACAATCTTAGCATGCCATACAGTGGAGGCAGGAAGATCAGACATTCGAGGTCCTCCTCTAAGCCACATAAAGTCCACGGAAAACCTGTGCGAAGGGAGGTCCTGCGTTACAAAAGAGCTCACAAAGACAATACAATTAAGTAAAAATTACAAAGATCATGCAGCCAGGTATGTGAACCCAGCTACTCAGGGGACTAAAGCAGGAAAATCAATAGTTGTTCCTTCCCGGTCTCTAAAGGCACTATTTATTTTATTTTGAGACTGGCACTTACTGAGATACTCAAATTCGCTCTGTAGCCCAGAGTGTGGCCTGTGTGGCCTTGAACTCAGGCCTGAGCAGCATCACGCCCCAGAAGCATACAAATGTAGATGGATAAAAGCGTTTGAGAGATCAGAAACGCCAGGGAAGGGGATGCAGGCTTGTAATCTCAGATACCTGGGAGGCTGTGGCAAGACCCGTCTCTGGATGCATGGGGGACGTGATTTCCAGACCTAGTGGACAGGAGACCCAGTCACAAAAAACATTTGAAAAAAAAAAAAAAAGCAAGCGTTGGGCAGCCCGCTCCCTTCTGGCTCAGCGAGGGAGGAGAGGCAGGCGCTGCGTTCTGCACCAATCAGAGCCCGGTTGACAGGCAGGGCACGAAGATTTCAGAGACCCTTCCGTCCCTTCCACTGCCCCGGAGACTCGCCTCCTCCGTCGGCCTGGAAACCCGCCTGGTCCTATCCTGAGCGTCGCTGCGGGCTCCTATTGGCTCGTCGCAAAACCCCGCCCACCTCCCCGCTCATTGGCCGCCGCGATTGACGTAAGAAGAGCCTGTTGCTGAGCACAAAAAAAAAAAAAAAGTGTTGCCGCTTTGGCTGAGGAGACTTTGCGGAAAAACAGCCCTAGAAGTAGCCACCGCGGCCGCTCCGCGGGCCTCTTGGTTTGCACGAAGCCCCGCTGCAGGGTCTTCCCGCGCTGGCTTGCGTCCTCGCCGCAGCCCCGCTTTGACACAGCGGGGAGACGGGTGCGGAGATGACTTGCCCGTATTTGACCCGGGTTTGAAGAGCCAGGACGGCCCCGTCCTGAGAGGCAGGGCTGGAGGGGGAGGAGGAGGACACCCTGGCAATCAGATGGTTTCTCCCTGGAGACACCCCCCCCCCCCCCCCCCCCGGGCCGCCCCCCGCCCCCCCCCCCCCCCCCCCCCCCGGATCGGCCGAGCCTTACGATCTGGCCTCCTCGCCGCAGGCAGCTTTCCTTAGCGAACTCCCAGCTTGAGCGGAGGCTCCTGCCAGGGGGACGGGAGGGGAAGCCGAACCCTGGGAGAAACGTTCAGGCTGTGGACTCTGGGCAGCGCTTACTTCTCGCCAGGCCCCTGGGCAGCCGCACGAGATTCGCTTCGCCGTCGCCTGGCTGCCCGTTAAGACCTTGACACCCTGACTCGGGGGCCTGGCGTACCTGGGGCGGCCTCCGAAGCCCTTTTCAGTCCACCGTGGCCGAGCGGGAGCAAGGCCTGACCTGTAGGCGGCGCTGCGGGCCCGCTCACCTGATTACACTAGAAAAGTCCAGCTCAATTGTCGGGAGCAGGGTAGGTTTGCCTTCTTGATTCAGAAGGACGAGCATTCCCAAACTTTGAAGTTTTCTATCCAGAAGGTGCGAGGGAAGTGACGTCATTCGCACAAACGTTAGTTCCCTACACAGTGACTGCAGAGAGGGCTCATTCTGAAATTCCTTGGTTTTGTACCCAAGAAAACAGAGTCAAGAGTTGGGAAAGGAAAGGGTTTAATGTGGTGAATAGAAAACAAGTGCCTGAGTTGCCTGACTCCTCAAAAACGCTCTTGGGAACGTCGTTGACTGTTTCTGAGAGTCAGCCGGGTCCTTGTTCAGCACCTCGCACAGTGCCTGCTTACTGAGTAAGTGAATGAATGTGTGAGCAAGCGTCCCTGGGTGTGTGGAGTGTCTGGTTTTATCAAACCAGTCGGAGGGAGACTTCTTTTCCATAAGATTTCCCTGGGCAGAAATTGTGTTCTGCAGTTGGGGACTGGGGCTGGAAAACAGTAAGAGCTCAAGACACAACTGACACAGGGAGTGATAAATCATAGTCCCTGGAATGGTTACAGTGTAACCATTATTACAGTGTAATAAAATTATCCAAGAATTTTTCCCCCAGACAGGGTTTCTGTGTGTGTGTGTGTGTGTGTGTGTGTGTGTGTGTATCCAAGAATTTGAAGCCACAAAATTAATTCAGAAAAAAAAAAAAATAATAGATGAGACTACCGTTCAGTTCATGATCTGAGAGGATCCGAAACTGAAGGAGTCTCAAAAAACATTTCAAATCTGATCTAGACATGTCTTCGGGACTGCAATATGATTGAGGAATAAAAATAGCTTTGGCCAATCAGTGGCCTTAAACACGGCTGATGCAAGAGTCCAGAGAGTATGGCAACAGGAGGAAGAAGGAGACCTTGCCTGACAAAAAAAAAAAAAAGAAGCAAGGCGTGGGGGAGGGGAGGAATGCATCCAACCTGTGTCTCCCACACCTCCCCATTCCTCACCGGGCTGGGAGCTTCACTGCTGGATTTCCAGCACCTCGCCCCAGCAACTGACACCCCCTCCATGGTCAAAACTCTTTACCGAGTGACAGAGGGAGGAGGGAAGGAGCAGATTGCTCTGAGGATAGCCAGTGAGTCCCCCCACCTTCGCACTGGTTACTCTTGCTCAAATTCTAGCTCTCCTAGCCATCTTCAAAGGATAATTTAGCTTTCCATTGAGGCCCTGTCCCCGAAATGTACCGACATGCCCATCCTCGGCCTCTTGACAGTTATGTTTCTTACTCCTAGTTCATACATCTGCCCTAGGCATCGATGACAAGTGCTAGCCTGCCTCCTACGTATTCACATCCTTCTCTCATCAATGGTGTGGCAGAGTTTCTGCTGTGGAGTCATACTGCCTTTGAACACGCTGTGCCCATTACTAAGCCTCCTGACCTCCGCCAGCACACCTCTTGAGAGTTTCAGTTTTGTCATCCCTCAAATGGGGACATAAAGCCAACCTATGAAGGTTGTGGTGAGAGTTATAATGGGATAATGGGTGTAGCCTGGACTCCCGTTAACAGAGCTGAACACTGTTTAAAAAGCCTGCGTCTCCTCTGCTTTCATTGTTTAGAAACTAGATCACGAAATCTCATCCACTTTCGACTATCAGTGCCTTCTGATTTTCCTCCACAAAACCATTCGTCTCGTAAGTGGATCCATCTCTGATGATCAGAAAGACAGGAATGTACCACTATGCCCAATTTTGCTTTTTTTTTTGAGACAGGGTTTCTCTGTGTAGCTTTGACTGTCCAGGAACTCTCTCTGTAGGCCAGGCTGAATTTACAGATATCTATCTGCCTTCAAAGGCTGGGATTAAAGATGTGCACCACCACCGCCTGGCTAAAGGATTATTATTATAAAGACAATAACTCACATTCATTCAAAAATATGTACTAGAGGCATGAAGGTGTGGCTCCACAGAGGAGCACTATCTAGCATGCATAAAACCCAGATTTGCCAGCGTGGTTTTCAGTACTAAAAACAAAAGTACTAAATACTACAGCGCAGATGCCGAGAGAAACAAGATTACTGAGTTAATTGACATTTCCACAACTTAATGCAGTCAAAGGAAGACGTTGTGTGACCTTGATAATCAGTTTTACCTTTCTGAAGTGTCCTCACTTTGTACATGTGGCCGGTAATAAATACAGTTCATTAACCGGAAGGAAGGCTTAAGGCTTGTAAATACAATAATGAGGCTCAGGGAGTTTGGAAAACAGGGCTAAGAAGAGGTTGACATTGTGAAGGGATGGGCAAGATGCCGCTCAGCAGGGCTGAAGAAGGCTTTTGGAGTAAGTGGCCTCTTGAAGGCTTCATTCAGGCCACACACAGGATGAAGGCAGTAAAGGCTCCATGTGGCTCCAGTGTGTAGAACTTGTAGAGGAGTAGTGAAAAGTTGAAGGATCATGGGTGTGACAGATAAGACTGAAGAGGTGGGCTGAAACATTTCTTGGCTAACTTCTTCAATAGCTGATGCAATAGTACTGAAAAAATGTGACCTGGCTATCAACATTATAGTTATTTCTGCTTGTGTGTCTGTGCAGTGCTGGGAACAGAACCCAAGGCCTTGGGATCCCGAGTAAACACTATAACACTAAGGTCCATCTCTGGCCCACAGAGTATATATTTTTAAAGAGAAAACTGAGTCTGATGTAGAGTTGTTTAGATAGTCGGTGACCAAGAGTATATTGCTGGAAGGACGTTGTTCTAGGTGGCATAAGGCAGGGAGGAAAAGATGTCAAAATGCAGACATCGTCCCCAACATGTTTATAATAAAAAATTTCAGATAAGACAAACACACAGAAAATGAAAATACAAGATAGAGTATGAAAAGTATTAAGATACGGAGAGAAAGGCCCAGCCCAAGAGCTCAGAGAGCTCAGGAGGAGGTGGGGGAACTCCCTTCCCCTCAGAAGCTAGAGAGGTATAAGATAAAGTCAGATCAGCTTTGGCATCATAAACCTAAACTCAGACTATTTCAGGGAGAAAATGAAAGGACTAGTCAGCAACAGCCCTGTCCAGTACTTCTTGACCAGAATAAAGAGAAAATTAACTTGAAACAAAGAGAGAGAGAGAGAGGCCTGAAGAAAAACTGAAGGACAGGATTACTAGAAGTGACTGGGTAGAGCAAGATAAGGGTGCTGAGGGGTTGGAAGAGGCAATATCCTAGCAAAAGGAGGGGTGAGTGCCGGGAAGTAATGAGGGTGTCTAGAGAAAAGAGGGGTAAACACAGAAACTTAGGGAGTGGAAGGAAAAAGGAGTCCCCAGCCAAATACCCGAGTTAACCAAGTTTCCAGGAGGGCCCGAAGAGTGGAAGACACCCAGGCAGAGCACGAGAGGGGAAACTGTAGCAATAAGGACTGAGATGAAATTTGAGATTTGCCAAGGGTATTTCAAGGGAGGGCTTTTCCGGAGACGCTGCCAATAAGGTGATTTCCTCGGTCTAGTGCTTCGGAAGGTGCAGCTCTCTCAAGGCCTGAGGGGACGGGGTGTGGCTCTTGGCCTTCAAATTGTGGTATTTGATCTATAATTAGAACAACTGGATGCGGTTAGGGCTCTCTGCAGCCCAGACCAGTCCCTCCAGGAACTGGAAAGCTGGAGAACTTACTGGGAAGGGATTTCACACCTGGCTGTCTGGCCCAGCCCCGTGAAGTCCCGTTTCATCACGCAGCCCTAATGACTCCCTGGGCTGTCACTCTCAACTGGTATTGCCAGAGATCTGACTAACCCCTTCTTGCAAAAGTTTGCAGCATCCGTGCGAGGACAACTACAGCTCCCAGAGTTCCCAGTCGCCTCTCGATGCTGATTGGAGGGACGGTTGGCTCCGGAGGGAGGTGTCGGCCCCGCCTCCCCGCGAAACAGGCATCTGATTGGCTGCGCCGCGGGGCTTTTGTGTCCCCGCCCTCCTCCAGGGACCGCAGCGGGCTGACAGAGCCCGGCGAGCGCTGGCAGTTCCGCGGTGGGGATGCTGAGGAGCGCCGGCTTCGCGAGCAGTGCTGGCCACTGCGGACTTCCGAGGCACTCCGGGCTGTGAAAACCCCTGCGCCGCGGCGAACCCCAGGCCTCTGAGGCCGGCCTCAGTTCCCCAGGCTGGGCTAGAAGGAACGTCCTGCGCGGCAGCGCCGGTTCTCCGCATCCCGAGAGACAGCCCGGGCTTCTCGAGCTTCCCCGGCGACCCCTAGTCCCGGCCTCATCGAGCCCGGCCGCCTCAGACCCCCTCGGGTGCCCCGGGCGCGGACGAGCCGCGGCTGGGTCCTGGCGCACACCATGATCGTTGCGGACTCCGAGTGCCGTGCAGAGATCAAGGGCTACCTGCCGTTCGCCAGAGGCGACGTTGCCGACCCCGGGACCGGAGAGGTAAGCACCAGCCGGGCGACGCCGCTCTCCTCCAAGCACAGCCGAGCCTCGGGGCTGACCCGGGCTGAGTCCGCTGCGACCCCTGGGCTCAGGATCTGGGAGCACGTAAGCTAGGGCTAGGGTTGCATCAACTGCAGCCTCCGGTCTACCTCCTTTTCCCTCCCATTGCCCTCCCCTCCCCCCGGGAGGGAGGGGGCCGCGGAGCCCTCCCTGGCCCCTTCGGACTCCGGGCCAATGAGAGGGGACGCCTTCTCTGTGGGTTTGTGCTCTGGTGGAGCGAGCGCTTTCAAGTCCAGGCAAATCCCGGCCGGAGAGACCCGACCGCTCCTCCTCCCCGCCCCCTTCCGCAGATTCCCTTCCTCTCGGTGGGCCGGCACCCTGGGAGCTCTTTCTAGGATCGGTTTCTGCTCCGGTTGCGCAGCAAAGGGAGCGAGCCACCTGGGACTGGCCAGGGAAGGTCGAGCCCCTTCCCCAGCCCCCAGCTGCACCCCCGATCTGGAAACCGGCCCGAATAATTTAGGGGGTTGGCTGGCTGCCTGGTGCTCGGCGGCGGCAGCCAGAGCCGGGGGAGAAAACGGGTAACCCTTGGTCCCGACTCCCGAAGACTTAGCAAGTCTCGGGCTGCTCCCTGTTAAAATGTTCTGGGGTCCTCAAAGTTTGGTTGTTCCCTCAGAGCGTAGAGGGACTTCGCAGGGGAAGGCAAGGTATAAAGCCCTCCTCTTCCTCCCAGCAGCCTCGATGATGGACGACGACCATCATTTATGGAGCACCAACTAGATGCCAGGGTATAGGTTTTGTCTGACGAAGACAGCAAATACAAACTGCACTTTGCCCCCATTTTACAGAACGAGAAAAGCGAGGCCCAGAAGGGGCAGAGAGAGAGAGAGGTTTCTTTCACTTAGCCCTCAGTCTTTGGCCTGTGTGTGCCTATGATTTTGGGGAATGCTTGGCAGTGCAGAAGATACTGTTTCTTTTTTTGTTTTCTAAGCTTACAGCAGTGTGGAAGGTATATTGCCAGGGCTGGAAATGGTAGAGTCCTAAAGTGTATGATCCTAAGGAAATCTCTACCCATGTCTGAGGAATGTCATTCCTAGGGGTTCTCCAGCAGTCGGTGGGTGGTTTCTTCCCATGGTTTCATAATCTGTGTGAAAGGACCCCTTGCTTCTGCCTCTCCTTTTTGGTTCACTTTTGCCTATCTGCTTAATGAACACCGTTAGTGAGAGCACCGGAGCACTGTTCCCCTTCCCCCCACCTCCACCTTTTGCTGGGTTATCTTGGCCAACTGACTGTTTTGAATGCAGTCTGTTTTACAGGTATTTTAATGGTATCTCTAAGATATTGTTGGGAAAATTAACTTAAAATACAAGCAAAGGCCTGAAGCAGAGTGCCCAGGACATATTTATTGCAGGGAACTGTCTTTGCATTTAAAATGCTAGCTTCTGTCAGACTGACTTAGACATCCTCTCTCCATCCCCAATACCTCTCAAAGGACTGCCTGAGTCTGTGTTCTGCTGCCTGAGGGGAGAGCCAGCATAGCTCTTTCCCCACAGTGCCTGGTAGGGAAGAAGATCTCAGGTGATCTGAGTAGTATCCTGGGGAAATAGAACCCCACCGCCAGGGTCTCACTCTGTAGTCCAGTCTGGCCTATCCTCCTGCCTCAGCCTCCCAAGTGTTAGGATTGCGGGTGTACCCCAAACCCCTGGACTTAAGAAAGTCACTTTTACGTACTGGGAAAGTTGGTAATATTTGCAACATTTCTACATCCTCTGCTCTCTCAAGAAAAGATGACCTTGAAGGTGCCTGCTTTGGGTGGGATCCTGAGAAGACAGGGTGCCCGCCTTCCAGACTCTAGTGGTCAAGACCTGATAGAAGGGCCAGATGGGTAGTCCCCTCAACTGCTTCAGACCTTCTTTTAGAGGGTCAAGGCCTTCAGATATGCCTGTCTCCAGAAAGCTCCAAGGGTCTGACTCTTGTCTTGGGTGGTTTCAAAACCATGTTGGATGCTAGAATAACTTCCTCAAACGTCACTTTCTTAGTAAAGCTTCCCCCCCAACCAGATGAGTCCCTTTGCATAATTCTTCTAGTCCCTTCTCCGCTGCAAGCTGGTTCCATAACCTAGGCCTTTCTGCTTGCCTGCCTCCCTTTCCTGGACTAGCTAGTAACAAACTGCAGGGTTCACTGTTCTTTGCAACTAAGGATCCTTGCCAACTGTTGAGGCTCTGAAACCCCATGTGAACTGTGCCAGGCCAGAAGGGGACCACTCTGAGTTTTGGTCAAGTTCTGTAGGTTCTCCTGGCCTACCCTCTAAAGGCTGGCTGGGGGTCTAGGGCTGCTTGTCTGTGCTCACCTGAGGTGTAAATACACGGACTGTTACCTGGATTCAGCGTTGAGAGGTAGTGGGCAGACCTTCCCAGCTGGCAGAATGACTTAGCAGGTGTCTGTCACTGAGTCCTGGGTCTGGCAGACTGCAGAGAACAAGAACAAAGGCTGGGCTACTCTGAGGGGCCCAAGCAGCTGGTGAACAGCACTCTGGAAATTCAGTTTGTGCTGATTTAAATCACTAGGTCTGGTCCCATTTCCAGGGCCCCATTTGGGTTCAAATTGCATATTAGATGCCTAATTTTTAGACCTTGAGCTGGCTTCCGTATGCAAAATAATCCCCACAACCTTCAAAGGGACATGGATTCTATGTAAACAGGGTGGGAGCACCTGGGCTCCTGTCTAGTAACACTTGACTTAGGAGCCATAAGAACTCAGTGAGCCCTCCCAGAGTTGCCCACCTACTGTTCCTGGCAGCATGTGACCCCGCAGGTGGAGATGGTAGCAGCCTTTGTTGCTTCTTTCTTTTACTCCACACCAGCAGGTGACTTGCCCCTTCTGGGTTTCCCTGTCCTTGTCTCTAAAACTGTGTTGGCATCACGTCTTCATAGGGTGTGCTGAGTCTGTGCTCTTCGGTACGGCAGGCAGCCCCTAGCCACATCTGACAAAATTTAGAGCCGGTAACTCCAGGCATGATGGCACGCTTCTGTAATCGCAGCATTTAGGACACTGAATTAGGAGTCTTGCCATGAGTTCAAGGCTGCAGAGTGAGTTCCATGCCTGCCTGTGCTACAAAGTGAGGTCACGTCTCAAAAACAACAAAACCAAATTTAGAACTAGTGTGATGCAGAGGCAAGTTTTAATCCCGGCTGGGCTATACAGTGAAACTTCATCTTAAAATATTAATTAAGGTAAAGTCAAATTAAGTTAAGCCAAAAGTCAAGATTTTTTTTGTTGTTGTTGTTGTGCTGTAGTCCCATTTCAAATGCTTGGGCATGAAGAATGGCCAGGGACTACCATGTGTGTTAGTGCAGGTGTAAAACATTCCCCCATGTAGAAAGTTCTGCTTGTACTTTCTTTAAAAGAGTTAATTTGGCCAGGTGTTGGTAGTGTATGCCTTTAATCCCGGCACCCAGGAAAGGGGTGTGCGTGTGTTTGTGGGTGTGTGTGCAGGTGCCCACAGAGGCCAGGAGAGGAAGTTGGATCTCCTGGAGTTTGAGTGAGTCACCCAACCAACATGGGTGCTGAGGACTGAACATGGACCCTCTGTAAGAGTAGCAAACTGTTACCCACTGAACCGGCACTGCCCCAGAAGTTCTACTGGACTCGTGGACTAGACATAGGAGTGACAACAGGGAACTAGACGGAGTGTGATCCCTTGCGGCCAGAGTCCCCGTGGAAGGTTTTGCAGAGCGGGTAGGGAATTCCTCAGGCTGTGAGCGAGAGACAAAAGCCCTCTCATTCTTGGCGAACCCTGGCTGCCCTGGTTATTGAGAATGGCGAGTGGCCTCCATGCCTGCCGGAACCTGGTCTGCACTCACCTCCGATACTTCCATTCGAGCTGAGCCTCCAGAGAGCCTTGGCCCTCTTGGAGCCTTATTTCTGGGTTGTAAAGCTTTAGTTGTGCTTCTGCCCTGTAGCTCGGTGGTAGTGGATGTGAAGTCAGTGCAGGTGCCGGTGGAACCAGGGACTTGTCATTCCTCCGCGTTATTGACTGAGATCCTGCTCCCCAGCTTCCCCCGGGCTTGCCCATATGTCAAGGTTAGGGGAGCATTCAGGACATTGGTGCCATGGGTTCCAATCCCTAGTCTTGTATTGAGGACTCTCCAGCGTCCCCTGTGGCTGAACACTGGTCGCCTACCTCCCCAGTAGTTTTTCCTGTCCTCTTAAACCAAAATAACCACACACTCCCCACCCCGTCATTTCTCACAGCTCTGTTTTGTCCCTCTCCTAGGATTGGAAATCTTGTTCATCATTTGTTTGTGTTCTCCGTAGGAACTAAAAGTATATGATGGCTGGCTGGGACTTTGTCTTTTCACTGGTGTGTTCATACTGCCTGTGATACAGTCAACAAGAAATTGTCAAGTGAATTCATTCTGATTTTACCTGGAAAGCACTTAGCAGCGGGCTCTGTGCCTGAGACAGCCATTGGTAAACGGCAGGGACAGGGTCCCCCCTCCTCTCTGTATGGAGTGCTGGCCGGGGACTTTGGTTTCAGTAATTAAAAAAAAAAAAAAAGCTTCACAAAGGGATTCTAATGGACTGCTGGGGCAGAGGAGCTCTTGTTTAAAATAACAATGAAGTTAATGCCGGGGGACTTTTCTGAAGTGCTCTCCCTGGTGGAGGTGCTGAGGTAAACTCTGTGGCATGGTCCTATTAAATCCTAGTGACAAACAAACAAACGAAACCATCTGGGTGTGTGTGGAACGTACAAACACTAACGTTCTAAGACGAAAGATTAAAACGTAGAAGAGAACAAGGAAACCATAGCGGCACAGGCAGCGGTTCTTATCTCCCAGACAGAGCTGTTGGGCATGCTCTCAAGTGAGGGAGGCGGGGAGCTGTGAAATCCCTGTGAAAGCCCCATTATTCCGGGAGGAAACTGAGGCTCACTTACCTAACTGGTGGGTGGAGCTGTCAGAAACATTCTTTTGTGTTTGCTAAGCCTTGAACCCAGGGCCTTGTACAGTCTGCTTGAGCTATGCTTTCAGCTGCCTCTATGGCAGCGCTCTGTGAGGGAGCTATGGCCCTACCCAAAGGTTTCTTTTGTTGTCTGCTTGATTGTTTGGAGGCCACCTCGCTGGTAGTACAGGTGTTTGGCCTGGGTCCCCTGGAGAGCTAGAGGCCCAGTCTGTGGAGTCAGCAGTTCTTATCTCCCAGACAGAGCTGTTGGGCATTTTCTCAAGTGAGGGAGGCGGGGAGCTGCACAGGGAGTGCTTGGGTAGTGCGGTATTTCTCGTGTCCTCAGACCAGCCTAGCCTGGTCTCCTAGAAGTGCGGATTGAACGCCTGCATGGTGGCTGGCGTGGCACACGCCTTTAATCTGAGCACTCAGGAGGCACAGGCAGCCAGCTCTCTGAGTTCAGGACCAACCTGGTCTACAGAGTGAGTTTCAGGCTACTAAGAAAGAAAGGTAGGAAGGAAAGAGAAAAGAAAAAAAAAAAAAAGGGTTGAAAGGGGCTGACTTAGACAGTTAGCAGCAGAACCAGCATGCGTACCTAGACCTCTAGGCTACTTTTAGATGTTTTTTTGTCTTGTTTTATTTTGTTTTTGAGACAGAATCTCAATATATAGCCCTGGCATCCTGGAACTCACTCTATAGACCAGGCTGGCTTCTAACTCAGGGATCAAGCTGCCTATGCTTCCTGAGTGCTGAGATTAAAGGTGTGCCACTAGGCCCTTCAGGGGACTTTTGGCCACTTAGGGAGAGAAAGGGAGAGGCTCGAGTATGGTTTTGAATCCTTAACCATCTGAGGTTCTAAATCTGGATCTTTCAGGGGAAAGGGCTCAGGGGACAGTCCCTTTGCAATGAAGGAAGAAGTGTTGTTTGGATCAGTTAGGTCAAGGCTGGTATAGAGAGCTCCACGCTGACACTAGGAAGCTAAGTGAATGAATAGAATGTTCTCCCACCTCGTATGTAGGAGTGGGAGAAGCAGCTTCATTGAATACATAGCTCCAGCTCAAATAAGCTCATGTCAAAATAGCTGCTGCCACCAGCCTGCACATCCTACTTGGAGTCATGCCCCTGCCCTTCTCTGCTCTCTGTTTTCATTCACAGAGCGGAATGAATGACCTGGCCCTGCTCTCCACAAGATGTGGTGTGGGAACAAAGCAACTTAGAAGAGGCCCTTAGCAGACAGTGTTTGTGGAAGAAAAAACACTGGGAATTATGGGTCACAGAGGAAGGCTTGACCTTGGAGAACTATCAAAGGGGTGGGGCTGGACCACTCAGTAATCAGGAAGGGTTTGGTAAGGGAAGGTGGGTTTTAAGTGACTGGATCAGATTCTTACTTCAGAAAGTTCATCCGGTTGCTGGACCCTGGGCAGTGTAGGCAGGGACAGTTGGTGAGGCAGAGCGCGGCGGGAGCCTAGAAGCTTCAGAGGGAAGAAGGGTGAAATAATGGCTGCGGGCCTGTGCCTGGTGCAGCTCAGTACAGAATGTGCTCAGCATGCCCAGCATGGTGCCTAGGTTCACCCTCAGCATTGAAAGAAAAAACAAAACAAAAAAGAAAGAAAAATGGATTATTTGAGAAGGATTGAAGCTTCTTCAAGGGCATGTTAGGATTGTGACTGGCTTTGGAATATAAAGCGTTCTTACTTGGAAAGAGAGTCCCTCAGCCCCACATAGTGTCTCACTGTGTAGCCCCGAGTGTCCTGGAACGCGCAGAGATGTGCCTGCCTCTGTCTAGTAGTGTGTCTCCCCCGCTCCCCCCAGTGCTGGAACTAAAGGCAGACACCACCACTTCTGGCCTCATTTCTCGTTTTAACAAGTGTGTGTGTGCATAAATCACAGCGTGTGTGTGAGGTCGGAGGATCACTGGCAGGAGTCAGGTCCCTTTCTACCACATGGACACCCAGGGATTGAATTCGGGTCTTCACACTTCGTGGCAAGCACCTTTACACTCTGAGCCATCTCTTTGGCCTCTATAAAGAACTCCATATAATGTCCAAGCCCTCTGGGACTGCAAAGACGCTGGCCTCCTGGAGATAAGCAGAATGAAAGCTGTATCTTTCCTTCCTCTGCTCTCTCCCACCCAGCCATGCTGGGTTCCTGGGCACGCCAGCCTAGATGTGCTCTCTTCCTTTTACCCATTTGCTACGTACCAAGTAGGCCTAAATGTTCTCCTTGGCTCTCCCTTGGCCGTACCAACAAGGTAGTTAAAAACTCAGTGACACTTAGGGTTGGAGAAGGAGGCTAGCGGGCTAAAGAGATGGTTCAGAGGTTAAGAGCACTGACTGTTCTTCCAAAGGTCCTGAGAGTTGGCTCATAACCATCTGTAGTGAGATCTGGTGCCCTCTTCTAGTGAGCAGGCACACCTGCAGGCAGAATGCTGTATAAATATTAAATAAATAAATCTCAAAAAAAATTCCACCAAAAAAAGAAAAAAAAAAAAAGAGGAGTCTGGATAGCTAACAATCCGCTCTGTCCTCCCTTGAGCTCCCTTCTGCCAATGTCTAACCACTGTGTGTTTCCACAGGAGCATCGGGAGGGCCGGGCTCGGCGAGGCCCTCGAGGGCCCAGCGCCTTCATCCCAGTGGAGGAGGTGAGTCTGGAAGAGGGGACTTCGGTGTCCTTGGTCCCTAGGAGGAAAGGACATGGAACACAGATAGATCAGAATCTTTCCTTCTTCCGCTCCTGATTTATTTAATTTCATTTAAAAAAGCTCTTGAAGCTGGGCTGTTCTCAACCTCATTTTCTGCAAAGGAATTGGTTCAAAAGATGAAATGTTAGTGACACAGCCAAACTTGAGCTTCCCAAACTAGTGCTTATGTCCTTTGTAATATAAGATGAACAACAACCCACTGATATTTACATCTGTATCCCAGCATTTTGACCTCACATATTGTTTTTTTATTTCATTTTTTTCTGCTTATAAATAATTTGTCTTTTATAGAAAGGAAGGAAGGAAGGAAAAAGGAGGCCTTGGAGTTCATCTAGATTACAATCCCGTTTCTGTCATTTATCAGATCTGTGGCTTCAAGCAGATCTGTTTTTTTTTCTTCATCTATTAAATGGAGGAAAATAATAGTATTCACCTCGCAGGACAAGTTCAAACACTCAAGATTCCTAGTTGGTTAGCTATCTGTTACATGAGAAGGGCCTGGGAATGAAGCTTAGTGACAGAATATTTGTCTAGTGTGCATGAGGCTCTAAGTTTGATCCTCAACGTTTTTTTTAAAAAAAAGGTTTTTTGTTTTTTGTTTTTCAAAAAAAAAAAAAGGAAAGAAAAAATCTTATTACAGAATAAAAATAGAGCAAATTAAACCCCAATTTCCTAGCTGTTTTGAGGACTGAGTGAGTTGATAAAAGTGTCATAGGAAGTATAACATGAAGTCCTTGGAGAGCGCTGAACATGTAGACATCATATAGGGAGCCTGATAAGTGCTTCCTCTGTTGGATGTGGTCGCTAGTGTAGATACTATCATATCTACACAATACAACTATATATATAAAACAAAGAAGAGGGTTGTCAGTATGGGGGCCAGGAGAGAACCCGCGCTGTCCTCCTTGTCTAGCAGATCCTTCAGGAGGGAGCCGAGAGCCTGGAGCAGCACCTGGGGCTTGAGGCTCTGATGTCTTCAGGGCGGGTGGACAACCTGGCGGTGGTGATGGGGCTACACCCCGACTACCTTAGCAGCTTTTGGCGCCTGCACTACCTGCTGCTGCGGACAGACGGACCACTGGCCAGCTCCTGGCGCCACTACATTGCCATCATGGTAAGTTTATCTGGGCTTTGATGCTTGCCGGGGTGACCACGTTCCACGTTCCAATTCATTTGCTGGGATTCTCCTGAGGTTTTTGTTGTTGTTGTTGTTTAGATGAAAAGGAAGTGTGTAGCTTTATCTGATGATGTCCATGGGATTGTAGATTTTGAAGAGTGACATCTTTAAGAGTATACTTTGCAGATGGGGAGACTAAAGTGCAAAGGGATCAGATGTCCAGCAAGCTGATAGTTAGAATGTAGATTTTTCTGCCTCTTAGATTTCCAAGGGGCTCTCCTCAGAATAGGGCAGGGAAAGCAGGGTAACTCATGAGGCTTATCGGATCCCCCCACAGGCTGCTGCCAGACACCAGTGTTCTTACCTGGTGGGTTCCCACATGACTGAGTTCCTGCAGACTGGCGGTGACCCTGAGTGGCTGCTGGGCCTCCACCGGGCCCCTGAAAAGCTACGCAAACTCAGCGAGATCAACAAGTTACTGGCACATCGGCCGTGGCTTATCACCAAGGAGCATATCCAGGTGTGATAGGCAGAGAGAGTTGGGGACCCTGAGGAAGCCAAGGGGTTGGGCTGGGGCAGCCAAGGGGCGGCCACTAAGCAGATTATCACTCCATCCTCCCAGGCCTTACTGAAGACTGGAGAACACAGCTGGTCCCTGGCCGAACTCATCCAGGCGCTGGTCCTGCTTACCCACTGTCATTCTCTGGCCTCCTTTGTGTTTGGCTGTGGAATACTTCCTGAAGGAGATGCAGAGGGCAGCCCCTCCTCACAGGCACCCTCGCCCCCCAGTGAGCAAGGCAGTCCCCCAAGTGGGGACCCACTGAACAACTCTGGGGTAAGTCACATTCCTGGGTCTCAGCGTGGGAGAAAGCTGTGCAGCTTCTGCCCTGGGAGTAGAAACCACTGCCTGCTTCACTGTCCTCCACAGTGAGAGACTACAGCAAAAGTGCTTGTCTTGAAAACTCTGTTTCTTTATCTGTTACATGGGGATAAAGACCTGGATACAGGGGCTTGTGAGGCGTAAGCACCACGAGCTTAACCTAAGAGCAGCCTACAGCCTCTGAGGACCAACCTCAGCCCCGTTTTTTTTGTTTGTATGTCTGGGGTGGCCTCGAATTTACTGTGTAGCCAAGTAGTAGTGAGGTTATAGGTGTGCGCCATCATGACAGCTGATTTTGTTGTTGTTATTATTATTTGGTCCTGTTATTTTGAGACAGGTTATTATTCTGTGGCCCAGGCTAGCTCAATGATAGGCTGCATGCCTAGTCTATGTGAGGCCCTAAGGTCAATCAGCAACAGCATACAAAAAACAAAACAAAACAAAAAAACAGTAACTGCCATAGTCCCAGCACTCAGGAGACAGAGGCAGGCAGATCTCTATGAGTTCAAGGCCAGCCAGGGCTGCATAGTGTATACCCTGTCTCAAAAATCGAAAACAAATAAAACCCAGAAACCTTGTAAATTCCCAGTGCAGCAAGGCACTTGTCTCCTCTCTGGACTTACAGAGTTCCTTTTGGAAGACTCACACCCGCTGAGTGAGTCGCCCAGCCTGGCGGCTGGCTCAGAAACTACCCTAGTTTCTTTCTGATCACTCAGGAAAGCCTGGAGTGTGGGAAGGCTGAGTGGAGTTTCCCAGAGGGCCACGAAGGGAGGACTAGATGGTAATTACTGGGTCCTTCCTACAGGGCTTTGAAGCCGCTCGTGACGTGGAAGCTCTGATGGAACGCATGAGGCAGCTGCAAGAGAGCCTGCTGCGGGACGAGGGGGCTTCCCAGGAGGAAATGGAGAACCGTTTTGAGCTGGAGAAGTCAGAAAGCCTGCTGGTGACCCCCTCAGGTATAGGATCACAGTGCTAGGGCCTGTCTCTATACATTTCTGGTACGAGCAGACTTTCCATGCACTGTACCTTATCTTCAGACTTGCCTTTGAATCCTGATCTGTTAGCCCTTCATGGCTTGTATCAGGTAGACAGAGCAAAGATCAGAGCCTTTCCCAGGTTGAGCCATAGAACTGCCACCATTACTGTAATGGCAGCTCTTGCCTCCTGGGTCCTGGAGTAGCAGTCACCTCCTTCTGCAGGAGTGCCTCTAGCTAAAGTCCTCTCACTTGCAGAGGGGAGGAGCTCTCTGTGACCCCTACTGTACCTCCCCTGGCCTCCCTGACAAGGTAGAGCGTGCTGCGCTCTGCTCAGCCTCACCGTCACCTCTTTCTGATATGGCCCTCAGCTGATATCCTGGAGCCCTCTCCACACCCAGACATCCTATGCTTCGTGGAAGACCCCTCTTTTGGATATGAAGACTTCACTCGTCGAGGGACTCAGGCCCCCCCGACCTTCCGTGCCCAGGTGAGGTTCCCCGTACTGGTGGTGTTCATCGCTTCAGAATTACATGCAAGCAGGGGCGAGTGGGTCTAAGTTGGATACCTTCTCCTTTCAAAAACCCATGAGGGCATGAAGACCTGAAAAGCCCCTGGGGGCGGGGGCTGGGAGTGGTTTCTCAGGTCCATTGCAAGCAGTGTTATCAGATCTGTGGTTCAGGGAGGGTATGTTATGCCAAGTTAAGGTGTGAATCTTAGAGGTACAGAGGACAGACCTCTGGCCAGCCGTGGGCTTCCAAAGTCTTGCTCACTGACCTCTTCCCTCCCTGCTCAGGACTATACCTGGGAAGACCATGGCTACTCACTGATCCAGCGGCTCTACCCTGAGGGAGGACAGCTGCTGGACGAGAAGTTTCAGGTGGCCTACAGCCTCACCTATAACACCATCGCCATGCACAGTGGCGTGGACACCTCCATGCTCCGCAGGGCCATCTGGAACTACATCCACTGTGTCTTTGGCATCAGGTCAGCGCTGTCCCCCGAGTTCTATGCCGGAAGTCTCTCCTGAGTGCACTGTCACCTTTGATTTTTCTTTTCCTTCTTGCCTGTAATAAGTTTATGTCTTTACAGATTTAAAGCTAATAAGGATGCTCGTTGTTCAGACTTTACATTGAACCCAGGGCCTTGTGTATGCTGACAATCACTCTTTGTCTTGTGTTGTTTACGTCATTTTACTTATTTATTTTTTGATATTTTGAGTTAGGTACAGGCTGACCTTGAACTCATGACAGTCCTCCTGCCTTAAGCTTCTTGGGTGCTGGGCTTACAGACCTGCTCCATTAACATACTGTAACTATGGTTTCACCTGGTTTTGGGTGTGAATTCACACACCTCTACACAAATAACATACATAAACATATGCATGCCAAGAGTCATGTTTAAATTTCCATAGTTCACATCTCATCTCATAGTCAGTAAGAACAGCACAGGTACGCACAGCACAGCGGAGGGCTTTGACGACAGAGGACTTCAAATAATGACATTCCCATTCCTAACCTATTGTGCAGCTTATGGAAATTATAAACAAGAGCCAGGCATGTGCTGAGTAGTCACGCGTACAGAGTAGTATTGTGAGTTCTGTTTTTATCTTAAGTCTTTTTTGATTTTAGAAAAACTGTTTGTTTTATTTACTTGAGTGTGTGTGCACAGTGCAGCACAGTACGGGTGTGGAGGCCAGCAGACAAGTTCTCTACTCCCACCCTATGGGGCCCAGGGATGGACCTGGGGTCATCAGTCTTGACGGCAAGGGGCAAGCTCCTTCACCCTGTCACTGACTGGATTTTGAGAAAGAACTCCCTCCACCCACCCTCCAAAAAGAATTTTTTTAATTGATATTTTAAAAAAAATTTTTTTAATTAAAATTTTTAATTTAATTTTGGTTGTTTGTAGGGTTAGTTTTTGGTTTTCTTTTTGCTGTTTTTCTCCCCTCTCCCAGCTCCTCCTCGCTCCCACCCCCAGAAGGCTCTGTTGGCTCAAACTTGGGCCCTCTGCTCCCTTGGCCTCCCAGGTGTTGAGACTGAGGATGTGCTGCCACCCACGTCGGCAGTTTTCACTCTTATGAGCACTGTTTGCGCTGACAACGCTCACACACATGTTCTTACAGCTAAGCCCTCAAAATAACTGATTTATCTAAGAGATACACAGAAATTCATTCATTCGTTCATTTATTTATTTTTGATATGCGGTCTCGTGGTAGCCCAGGTTGACCTTGAACTCCATCTGTTTTAGTCTCCAATGCTGGATTGTAGAGTTAATTACCCATCTCCTGGCTTTTTCTTTCTTTTTACTTATTTATTTTTTTCTTTTAATGATCTTTTATTTTTTATTTATTTATCTATTTATTTGTGCAAACCTATAATCCCAGCACTGGAAGGCAGAGACAGGAAGATCAGGAGTTCAAGGCCATCCTTGGCTGTTTGATAAGTTCAATAACTGGGCTACAGGACTCTCAAAACAACAACAACCAAAAAACAAAACACCCGAATTGTCCAGGAGGATTACTTAATTTTATAATCATCAGGTGTTTCCTCCCTGTTTGTTTTTTTTTTTTTTTTTCTATGCACACATATAAGCTTCACTGAGGAGACACAAGTGGCTTCTAGACTCTATTAACAAGTTAATTGCCTTCTCTAGGCCTTATTTTGCCCATCTGTAGAATTAGTGCTGTCTCCTTTTGTCCTTAACCACTTCATTCTCGAGGATTAATACACACTGACCTTCCTGTGCTTTACTATAGAACACTGGGTATAGGAGAGCTGGATTTGAAAGTCAGTCCCTTTGAATCTTCCGGAAATGAAATTGATGTGCACTGTAGATTGTGTATAATTTGCGGGTTCCTGATCCGCACACAGTCAGAGCTCAATAATGCATGCTCATTGTCAGTTCCTCTACGAGCCTGGTAACCTTTGACACATGATGTCAGCCGTTTTTCTAAGAGGAACCAGGCTTCTGATTGCCTCCTACCTCCTGGCTTTTTTTGCCACTCTCTGTTCCTCCTCTGTAGGGTGGGGGTGGGGGAGCAGAACATGAGTAATGCTGTTGGGGTCTTTCCATCAGATATGATGACTATGATTATGGGGAAGTAAACCAGCTCCTAGAAAGGAACCTCAAAATTTATATCAAGACCGTGGCCTGCTACCCAGAGAAGACAACCCGCAGAATGTACAATCTTTTCTGGAGGCACTTTCGCCACTCAGAGAAGGTAAGAGCAATGAGGATGTGGAAACCGCCAGGCCAGGCCCAGCCTGTAGAAGAGTCACTGGGTAGGACGCAATGAGGATTGCACAGTGTGGATTGTCCTGGCAGGTGGGACTCCTTCCTGGGCCTGTTGTCCTTGGTTAAATCCTACTCCACTGTGTGATTTCCAACTCCGTGTAAATCAGGCACACAGGGGACGTTTCCCGCAGGGCCTTCGATGGCAGCTTGGCAGGCACAGGTGCAGATCTCAGTCCTCACACAGGAGAAGTGTGACTTGGGCAGATTACCTTTGAGCATTTCCCCTTTATAACGAGAAGAGATGCTGCCTGCATTTCAAAGCTGGGAAGACACAATGATACTATGTATGGAAACATTTGATCCTGCCCTGGAGCCAGTTAGTGGTAGCTCTCTCTTCAGACTTAGGGGGTGAAGCGCCAGTCACAACAAGGGTGGGGGGCCCTCAGCAGTCGCCAGCAGATCGAGGCGGTCCTGGTGTGGGTGAGGTGAGTGGTCAGGGAACCTGTAGACTGGGGGGCCGCAGGTCAGATGTCAGCAAGCCTCATTTCTTTCCATTCTCCAGGTTCACGTGAACTTGCTGCTCCTTGAGGCCCGCATGCAAGCAGCCCTGCTCTACGCCCTTCGGGCTATCACCCGCTACATGACCTGACTCCCTCGCATGCAGGACCAGCACCCGGAGCAGCTGACCCTGGGGCACCGTCCTCTCTGTCAGGACTTCTTGGTCTGGAGACAGATCCATGACCCTTTCTGTCTCGTGTCCCTCCACCAATTGCTGGGGCGGGCATGTGTGTGGTGTGAGGCCCCCAAGGCAAGCCACACCTTCCTTTTCCTCACTGGACTGGATAGGATCGTTGCACTGACTTTGGGGTCTCAGCTCTGCCCCTGGAGTGGAGGGGAAGAAAGCTAGGAAAGCCCAAGGGGCCATGACCCTTTTTCTTTCCCTGCTCCCATTAGCAGATGAAGGCTACAGAGCTAAGGTCAGGCTTACATGCTGGCAGGCAGGACCCCAGGAACCACGAGTGCTGACTTCCTGGACTGGGACGCCCCTGGCTGCCAGTGTAGAAGAGGAGCAAAGACTCCCAGGGACTAACACTCCAGGAAAGCTTGCCTTCCCTCCCTCCTCATTCTTTAAGTTCATCACCTCCCACCTGCCTTCCACCCATCAATGTGAAAGTTGGACTCACAGCTGGTCTGTGTGCCCAGTTTCCCCAAAGCCTGTCCTTTTGGGCAGCCTGTTCTCTGGTTGCCTGAGTACTGGTTCAGTTCTTTTGTCTCCTTTGCCCTCATACCCTTTTCTCCCATGCCTGGGAAAGGGGCCAAGCATATCCAAAGAACACGCTGTCTCTAGAGAGTCGGGGCCCGTGTCGGTTCCTCTGGTGTCTGAAGAGTAAGGAGTAATGGCTGATGAATTCTGTATTTGGGTCTTGAGGGCCTCACTGTGGAGCCAGAGTCAAGGCCTAGGAGGGAGGAGATCCTGTTCCAGACTGTACTGACATGCAGAGGCTGGCATCCCATTCTCCTGACCCCTTGGGCTCTGCCAAGACTGCTTACCAAAAAAAAAAAAAAAAAAGACCCTTTCTTAGGTGGCACCAGGACCGACCTGGTAAAAGGCATATACCAAGGTTCTCTTTCTTTCTCTTGGTATGTGGCCACACCCCTTGGACCTCACGGTCGCAGACTGAGGGGTTGGCTTAAGTTTCTCAAGGTTTGACACTCTCTGGGCTCTCAGGCCGAACCGTCAACAGCAGGCTGATTCTCTTGCAAGACCTTGAAGGCCTCTGGGGGCCTTATTCTACATCAGCCTTTCCTGGCTGCCTTCCAAGGGCCACCACCCCCGGCCCAGTGTCCATCAGTCCCCTCTCCTGGATTTAATGGATTAGTTGGCAGCAGCAGCCAAGACTGACAAGCACTTTGCATAGCAAACAACTGTGAATTCTGACTTCCCTTTCCCTTCCACCAGCAGTAGGTACCTCCTCTCAGGTACCTCCTCTGCTGGTATTTTCCACTCTCCACCCTTGGGCCAGGCACAACAGGAGCTTGGCCAGTGTGCCACATTTCATACCCTCATACCCGTGCAGGCACAGGAAGCAGCTAGTACCCCCTCCAGGCCTGAAACCCCTCCCTGCAATGAAGGTGGGCAAGAGGGGAGGGCCTCCCCAGCATGGGAGTAAGTTCTAGAGGGGATGTGATGACGCTGACAGTGTCCCCTGGGTGGGTGGGAAGGGCATCCAGTGTTAAAGTGCAGAAACCTTTGATGTTGTGAGCATTTCTAGGTAATAGAAATAAAGGTTCGCTGAGGTTTGTTTTGTAGTCCTTGTTAATGGGATGTTTGTCTATTTCCCGAAGGTCAGAGTTCACATCCTAGTATAAACCAGAAGCGGTGGTTGCGTCATGGACTTGACCTCATGGCCTCTGCCCTGCCTGTACCTGTGCCCAGTGATTGCAAGCCTGGGGGTTGCTAGCATTGGACGTCAACTGGGACGAGGCTAAGGCGCAATCCAGAGTTTGCCTCATGTGTGCGCAGTCCTGGGCTTAATCCCTGACACCACAAAACAAAGTCTGCCATTGCTTGGCTGACAGTCTGGTACTGTGGACTAATAAAGGGCAGTGTTGTTTTCTGACCGCAGTGGCTCTGCGCCGGGTAGTGGGAGGCCACGCCTCTGAAGCTGCAACCATCTTGGAAGAGATTTGCCATTGAGTTGAAATAATATTGATGAGGCCATGGAGCCAGGGTTCTGGTGGGACTTGCTTGACTGAGGCCTTGGCACCCTACCTTCCTGTTGCTCCCACCCAATTCTTGGATATACTTGTGGCAGGGAGGATCATTAGGCTTCTTGTCTAGAATTGAGGCAGGACTATCAAAAATACTTCAATCTAGAGACAAAAAGGAAAGAAAGGACGGACTAGGGAGATGGTTCAGGGGTTAAGGGCACTTAATTGCTCCTGCAGTGTACCTGAGTTCAACTCCCAGCACCCATTCAGCTGTCTAACAGTTCTAGCAGATCAAACACTCTTTTGTTCTTTATGGCACCTGCACATACATGTCTATACATGTGGACACACATGCCTACACATAAATAAAAATAGAATGAGACATCTTTTAAGAAAGTTAAATGTGAGCTGGGCATGGTGGCACATGCCTGTGATCCCAGCACACTGGGAGGCAGAGGCAGGCGGATCTCTGTGAGTTGGAGGCCAGCCTGTTCTACAAAGAGAGTTCCAGAACAGCTAAGGCTACACAGAGAAACCCTGTGTGAAAAAAATGGTGTTGACCTTGATCAAGCTATTTGGTACCAGGAACTAGGAAGACACCAGGAAACCACATAGTGACTAAGCTAAGAGCTCTCCTGACGGCTTCCCATTGACCCTGAACGCTGCCGTCAGGAACTGAAATGTGGTGTCCCTACCAGAAGCCTTCCCCCTTGGGATAGCTGTGCAGGCTGGCCTCATTTCCACAATCCTCCTGCCTCTGCCACTTGCATGCTAGCTTACCACATAACACTCTCTTCCAGAGCCCTTTGTATTGTGTGGCTTTTGCTCCCAGACTGGCTGATTTTTTTTTTTTTATTTAATTACTTTTTTAAATTACAGAGATCCACCTGCCTCTGCCTCTAGAGTGCTGGGATTCCAGGTGGAACTGAAGACGCTCAGCTCCAGTTTGTATGTAGTGAGTTTGTTTTCAATCTCTGCAGCCAGCAGTTCTGCATCAGGGCACAACTACCTTGCTCGGAGTTTGTGAAAGGCAGCCATGATTGATTCTTTTTCCCTCTTTCTCTCTCTGTTTTTTGGAGACTGGGGGTGGAGGGTGTCTCAATAGCCCATGGAGGCCTTGGGAGCTAACCACTGCCTTAAGCTCCTCATTGGTCTCAACTGCAACCAGAGGCACTAGATGGCCCAGTACCACGGCCAGGCACTGGTTATTTGTTTGACTCTTGAGGGGTTTGTTTATACACTGCAGCATTTTATTCTTTGGCGACCCCGTCTAGAAAAGGAGCAGAGGGAATCTCCCGCAGCTTTCAGATAGTCCCCAGCCCTGGGACAGGGAGCTAGATAGAAGTGCTTCAGATTCACACCTTAGAACCCCTGGAAGGGTTGTGCTGGGCGATGCACGCCTGTGATCCCAGCTCTCAGGGAGGCAGAGGCAGGTGGATCTCTGTGAGTTCAAAGCCAGCCCAGTCTACAAATCGAGTCCAGGATAGCCAAGGCTACACAGGGAAACCCTCCCTTGACAAAACCAAAAAAAAAAAAAAAAAAAAAAAAAAAATTCTTGGAGGATTTGGAGTGGTTGGAGGCAAAGCTGGACAAGGTACATCTCTAACCGCTGCTCTGCTGTTTGCTCACTCAGCAGAGGCTGCTCACCTAACACGTAACAAGCCCTGAAGATACAGGAGTGAATCCTGGGACAAAGTTCCCGCTCCCTCGGGGCAAGTGGAGAGGGCTGACGTGGGATTGTTGCTCGGCTAATGATTTACACTGCAGTCGTGCTCCCCACCTCACAGGAGAAATGTGACCTCCTCCTCCGAAGCAGTTTCCAGCTCTGGAGCAGAAAACTTCTCTTCCAAGGAAATAGATCAGACTATTACAGCAGCTACAGCGCCTTCGAGAGCACCTTCCCACTCTCTGAAGTACCTTCTCAGGTCCCCACAGAGCAGTTGGAGAACTTCTCTACATTCCTCTAGCATTCCACAAAGACTGTGGTTCCCATTCCTTTCCTCGCTTGCTCCCTGCTCCGTTTATTGGTTGTTGAATTTTTTTAGCTAAGTCCCTCTCTTGGAACTGCACTGGGTTGAAGGGAACACCTTGGCTGATGGTTATATTCCCCTCTGGGTGTTGGCACCTCTCCCTCTCCCCCTGCCCTTTCTGCAATAAACTTCCCCTGTTGCGCAGAGTGTAAAATTTACATAGTTATTATAACCTAACACCTATAATCCCTGGTTGCAGGCAGCTGAGGCAAAAGGATCTTGAGTCGAGGCTAGCCTTAGCTACAGAGCATGTTCAAAGCTAGCCGAGGCTACAGAGAAAGACCGTGTTCTCTTGTTTTTGCTGTTTGTTTTGAAACAGAATCTTGTATCCCCAGGCTGGTCTCCAGCCCCTTCTGTAAGAAGAGAGTCTGCCTCTGCCCCTTGAGCGCTGGGATTACAAGAACTGTGCCAGGTTCCTGTGGTGCTAAAGATTGAACCCAAGGCGTTGTGTGTGCTGAGCAGGCACTCCACCAAATGAGCTACAGCACCAAACCCTGAAAACCTCTTTGGGAAGTCTGTCCTTTTGTCTCTTTCAAACAGTTTGGAAAGCTCACCCCAGCTCCAGCAGAGCCTTCAGATGTGTTGCAGCTACACTGAAGCCCAACATCCCCCCAGCCCTGTTCTTCCCCATCCTATGATACTGTTCCCAAATAAAGCCATGTGCAAATTTGCCCCTCAGAGTATGCTTACCAGCAGATCCCGACCCAAGATACCCAAGAAAATAAAAACCTGCATGGAGACCTCCCATGGGCGTGGTGCCATAGCCCTATGGTTTCCTGCTCTCATTTTTCCTTTACTTTTAACATCATTTTTTAAATTTATAAATTTGTTTAAAAATTTGTTTAAAGTAGTTGCAGGACAATGGTGGTACACGCCTTTGATGCCATCTTAAGTCTGCATTTGGTCCTGAAAAGAAAAACCAAAACCAAAACCTGTCTTACTGGTCTTAGCAGCAGAAATTCTTTCCTTCATAAGTCCAGGTAGGCTCTGCACCTGTTGCCTCAGGAATAGCAGGGGTAGCTTGAGTGTCTGTTGAACTTCTGAGAGTCAAAACTCGCTTGTCAACAAAGTTCTTAGTGGGTGTGATGGCACAAGTTTAATCTTAGTGCTTGGGGAGCTAGGGCCTGGACTGCTCAGGCCAACCTTATCCAGCCCCCAACCCCAACCCTGGTCAGATATAATGTCGGGGGCTGCTGCGGATGTAGCTCATGTGGTAGGATGTTTCCTTGGCCAAGCCCTGAGAGTTCTGTCCCTGGCATACAACAGGCCAGGTGGCAGCAAGCAGGAGAGCCAGACCTTTAAAAGTCATCCTTGCCTACATAGCGAGTTCAAGGACAGCCCAGACCCGTGAGACCTTGTGTTTAAAAATAAAAACAAGCCAAGTGGTGTATGCCTGTAATCCCAGCACTCAGGGAGGCAGAGGCAGGCGGATCTCTGTGAGTTCAAGGCCAGCCTGCTCTACAAAGCAAGTCTAGGACAGCCAGGGGCTACACAGAGAAACCCAGTCTCAAAAGCAAAATAAAACAAACAACTCGGAAACCAAACCAAACCAAACAAAAATAAATAAAAATAAATACAACAGCAACACTTTTTCTGCGTTATTCCTATTTGAGTGCTTACTGTTTACCCTAAAGCTAGAAGCTGATAGAACTACCATGAATGGGACAATGAGTATAGGTCTTCATGGGCCATGAGTATATACCATGAGTATAGGTCCTCATGGGCCATGAGGTCCATAAAAAAAAGATGAATTTCATATAAATACTCACGATGAGTCCTAGAAAAATAAAAAATCCAAGGAGTTCTGAGTAAGTACAGCCCATTCTGGATTCGAAAGATAAGAGTAGACTTAGGGTGGAAAGGAAGAAAAAAAGAATCAGGGACGAAGGAGCTAGCATAGGAAGGGAATCTGGTGTGTTTTTGAGACAGGGTCTTAGGAGATGTGCTTGTCACTGCCTCCCAAGTGCTGGGACCAAAGGCTTGAGTCGTCACACCCTGCCTAAGAGATCTGGAAAAGAAAGCCAGCTTTGAAGGAATGGGGAAGGGCAAATGAGGAAAGCCAAGGCTGGAGAAAGTCCTGGGCGAGTCCGGTAGAATCTTGGACTTTGGCCTAGCGATATACTTAGAGACAGAATGCTCTGGCCAGCAGGTACCTGGGATTTTGTACCCAACCCTGTAAAAAAATGTATATTTTTGGCTTCCTCCTAGGATGCTGGAAACTCTTCAGAGGGACTGTTAGGGTTTATTGCAAAAGTAGATAATATTCATTAGAAGAGGGAGTAAGACTCGGAGAGCAGTTCCCACTGTTTCCCAGGCATGGCCTGCCTTACAGATGTAATGCTAACATCTCTCTATGTGACGCCTGTTATGTTTTTTCGTCTATCTGTCTGTCTGTCTGTCTACAATCTTGCTATGTAGCTTAGGCTGACCTGGAACTCATGATATTCCTGCCTTAGTCTTGCAAATTCTGGAATAACAGATGGGAGTCATCATGCCTGGTTTCCTTTGCTCCATTATACAGGTGTTCTAATGAGCCTCAGTTTCAAAAGCTTCCCTTTGG